GCGCCCGCGATGATGTGCTCTCCTGACTCCTCAATGATGCACTGCACCATGGGGTCGGACTTGGCCAGCCGCTTCAGCCCCTCCACCAGCTTGGGTAGGTCAGCCGGGTTCTTGGTCTCCACGGCCACTCTGATGACAGGGCTGACCCTGAACTTCATCACCCGCATGTTGTGTGCGTGCTTGAAGGTGGTGATGGTGCCCATCTTCGCCAGGAACTGGTCCACTCCCACCAGGCCCACAATGTTCCCACAAGCCACGTCCTGGATTGGCTCCACATAGCGGCCCATCATCAAGATTGTTCTCTGGATTGGCTTCAGGTAGAGGTACTCCTTCTCCCTGGGGGTGTAGACCTTCCTGAAGGTCTTCCATAATCCTGACCTTCAGGCCGGTAGAGACCAGCCCTGAGAAGACTCGTCCAAAGGCGTAGAACCGACCTTTGTCGGAGGTTGGCACCATTTTGGAAATATACATCATAAGGGGGCCTTTGGGGTCACAGCTTTTAATGCCCATGGCAGCCTCGTCGTCCGGGGGCCCCTCATACAGGAGCTCTCAGCGGTACTTCTGGGCCGTCACAGGAGAGGGCAGATGGATGGTGATCATCTGCAACAAGGCGTCTCCGGCGGGCAGTCAGCGGCGCATCACAGCCTTCAGCAGGGGTTTGCCTTCTTTGTCCTTGTCCTCACTGTCCAGTTTGATGTCCAGTTTCTCTATCAGTTTTGCTGTCTCCTCTTTCTTGAAATTCATGATGGCATCAAACACCTTGAAGATGGGGTCCAAGATCAACTGGCAGAAGGTGCGTGGCAGCTTCTTCCCATCGGGGCTGGTGGCTGACTTGCTGAACTTGCCATTGGCTGGGTCAAAGTACCTGTCACCCCACAGCTTCTTCATCATGTCCTCCACTTTCTTGGCCCACTCGGCAGGCCCCAACTGGCCCTCCCCTTTGGCAGCAAACTTGGCCACGTACATCTCCGCAAACTGCTTCAGGGTGAAGGCCCACCCATGGAGGCCAGACCCGAAGCCCACGGTACCGAGGACAGGATCAATCATGATGTTGCCCATGGAGCCGCTCTCGCCCTCGCCGTAGGTGGAGATGATGACGTTCACGTTCTCCACAATGCGCTGGAAGGTCTGGTAGAGCTCCTCCGGCTCCAGCTGCAGCTCCAGCAGGGCACGGTCCACTTTGTTCATCATCAGCTCAGGCTTGATGCGCTCCGCAATGGCCTGCCGCAGCACTGTCTCCGTCTGCACACACACGCCTGACACGCAGTCCACCACAACCAATGCACCATCAGTGACTCGGAGGGCAGCGGTCACCTCCGAGGAGAATTCGACGTGCCCCGGGGAGTCGATGAGGTTAATGAGAAAGCCGGCGCCGTCCTTGCTCTGCTTGATGAAGTTCAAGTCATTCTCCGAGAGCTCGTAGAAGAGAGAGATGGCAGTTGACTTGATGGTGATGCAACGCTCCTGCTCATCCTTCCGGGTGTCAGTGAAGCGTGTCTCCCTGGCCCAGGCCAAGGCGATGATGCCTGCCTTGCACACCAGGGAGTCTGTCAGTGTGGACTTGCCGTGGTCCACGTGGGCGATGACAGACATGTTGCAGATATTGGCCTTCTTGTCCATGATGGCGTGGATCTGTTCTACCGTGAAGTTCACAATGGTGGCGGATGGCGGTGGACTCTCCCAGGTAGAACCGAATGAAGCGAGTCGCGCCGAGGATGGTGACAACGACGACGGCAGAAGAGCGTATGTATCACTTTCAATGATGCATGCATTTTACTCATAGACTTTCACGATCTCTATGGTTTCTTGACTTCTTACTTTCTCATTTGAGTTTCAGCTTTACTCTTGTCTCCTAAATAAAGCTAAACACTTCTAATGATTCTCCCTAAGGGTTACCTTACCTCTGCCTCATTATAGAAACATTTAGTTACCAAGAACCAAGTTACTGTCTTTCTACTATAACCTCATGTCATTTCTATCCACACATTTAGAATTGATGTGGTGGAAAGCACTATCCACCAGGAACCCACAAGCTGACTTCCACTTCTTGATTTGAATGTGTGGCTTGGGACACATCTAGAAAAAGAAGGGGATGAAGTAAATGAACCCTCAGCTCTGACCATCTGCCTACTTGGTGCAGGCACAGTGGTTAGTTCATGGCTTTCAGGGCCGACACTTTGTCAGTATGCACCACTATGGCCGCACTAGTTGTTAAGGGCAACTTCTGTTCTGATTGGTCAGTACCCAGTCAGAATAATCTACTCTCCCAATCAAAATTTATTGAGTTCCTACCAGGAGCAAGGTATCTCCTAGACCCTGAATATTTATTGGATTAAAATATGTATTCTAAGTCAAAGTGTCTCAGCTAGTAATGTGATGTGTGACTTTGGCCCAACCACTTAACATGCCTGGGTTTCAGTTTCCTCATTTGCAAAACAGGAAATGTTCAAAGTCCGTTTTTCTCAAGTGATTTATGAGTCAGTAATGATTACACTGAAATTGGTAGAATTTGCTTTTTAAAGTTACAAGTAAAGGAAATAGGTCATATTTTTACAAAAGCAGTATGTTAGTTTTTCATTATAAAAAGAAGTAAAGCCAATTTTCAGGGGAAAATCGATGTAGCCATCTTCTCCCTGAATAAATGTCTAATTATCTACATCATCTCATTTTCCAGTTTCTAGCCACATTTATATATTCAGTGGTTATTGGAATTTTCACCTTGAGAAGATATCGTGATTTGACAGAGCAAAATATAAAATATGATCTTGGAGATAAATAAATCCATTGAACTCTGCCAACCACAATCCCACTCTGTTCAAAGCTGAAGTCAGGTTCTAACTCCTCAGCAAAGAGATGAGCATGTGCTCTGTGCCAGGCTGTGTGAACCATGTGGCACAACAAAATGTGTAAGAAATTATCTCCACCTTCAAATAGTTTAAAATGCAGCAATGTGACAAGCACAAAATGTAACATGACTGTAAACAGACATGGCCTGGTGAGTCCTTAACATCTCATTACATTGCAAGAGCAAGCACTGTGCAGTTTCACAGAAAAGGGCTGTCAAAGGAGATGGGATATAAACCTCCTTGATTAAAAAAAATCAAAAGCTAACACACACAGACACAACATATATGCATAACACATATGCAGATGTGTTTATGTGTGTGTGTATATATAGTGAGAGTGAAAAATGAGAACCCATTCTCATCATTAGATTTAAAGAGATAATACATACATGAAGTACTTAGAACAATGCTTAGCATGCAGTAAGGGCTCTAAAAGGATGAGCTGTTAGGTTATAGAAACACTGACATTTGAGAAAGACCAGAATACCCATGAGAGTCACAAATGATCACTGAACATCCTTCACACCCCCAAGCCCCAACTTTCTGACCCCTCTCTCCTGACACGTTTGCCATCAGAACCTAACTGGATGGACTGGTTCCTCTGGAACTTGTGGTGGGCATGCCACCCAGGTAGGCCAATCAAAGGGCTTCACCTGCTTGGCTATTTTGGTTGATCTGCCAAGAGGCATGTAACACCGGCTGCACCAGGTTTCTTATCTGGATTTTTCTCAATCCTGTCACTGCCCTACTTCTGCCAACCACACACAAATACCAATTTATTTCATGGAAAGAAAAAAAAGATTAACTAAGGGGAGAGATCTCATTACCTGACAGGAGATAATATCTTTGAAAATATTAAATAAGCACAAGAGAATAGAATAACTAGGAATTTGTGGCCTTTAAAATATTTTAGCCCCTAGAGATACCTATAATTGTGCTTTTAGCATGAAATCTATGAAATACATTTTGAGATTTATGGATATTTATTTTTCCTATGAAAATTTTCTTGGAATTGTAATGGTGTAGTTTCTGCATTGTGTCTTTTAAAAGCTAGCTGCAGGTGGGATGTCTCTCCTTATGTGAAAGGCCAGCACTTGCTCAATTTAAATGTGTATATTCTTTGCAATCTTTCCCTAACAAGTTTCTTTATAGCACATGTCTTCTGAAAAAGTGCAGTATTACTTGTTAGAAAATAAAACTTTTATTCTTTTTAAAAAGCATTAATATATGAAGTTAATAATCTTGATTGTAAAGAAGAACTTTCTGAAAGGAAATGACACTTTTACAATCTTCTGTCTGATAGTAGGACAAAATAATGACTTAATGTATAAGAAAGACAGAGAGAGAAGTATTGGCAAGTTCTACAGAACAAAGACCTCAGAAATACAAATCTCAAAGCCATTCAAGAAATAATTAAACAAGTTACACCTGAATATGCTGTACTATGAAAATGCTGAGTTAAATATCTGTAGTGTATCCCCACCCCACTGCAGGTAAAGGCTGCTACTTTCTTTTCTAAAGAAGTATCCTCTATAAGAAAGCTTTCAGCCAACAGTAATCGTCCTTTGTATAACTGCAGATGTTCAGCAATAGGCATTATTGAGTCAGCAGGGAAGCTGCTCACCAGATTTTAGAGGGAGATGAATATTATAATAAAAACTGGTCCGTCCTGCAGTCACAATTTCAATTCAGCCCTGACCCATAAGCAGGAAATCCATCTGCAGTGTCTCAGTTCCCCTCTGGCTTATCCTCAGCCTTGGATGCTTTTGCACACTCTCCACTGCTGCTTCCATTAACCAATTAGGTGCTGACGCAGAAGCAATCTTAACCTTGACAGCCCCTTTATACTTGGTCTCTGTTTTTCATTGCTTTGTGACATAGCCGTACTGGCATTCTGTGTTATTAACAATGTATATTTTATTAGGCGATTCTTATTAGCAATTATCTGTCATTTGATAAGCCTATTTATTAGTTTTTGCAGCCACGTAACTAACCCAAGCAGGATTTTCAGAGGAGAAAATAAAGACAAAGGAAGACCAATGCACTAAAAGAATGAAAGATAGATGTGGGAGTACACTCTTGAATTGGGAATTTGCTGACTAGACTAAAAAAAAAAAAAAGCATATTGAAAGATTGTGGGGGGACTTACGCTTATAGGATGGGACCTTGTTGTTGTAGGGTACTGCTATAGGGATTACTGATGAGATTGATTCAGAAATGAGAATATCAAAAGTGAGCTGGAGAAACAAATCGTGATCAATAGCTAGCTACCAGGAAAATAACAGAACATCTAAATTCCAAGACTTTCAGGTACTTTTCAGCCTCATCAGTTAAAACTCTGTGCCCTAGTCTCCAGGGAAAAGCAAGGATAATGATGTTTATAATGTTCTAAGTCCTCATCAAAACACACTCAGATGGCTTTGTACTGAATGCCTTTCAACCTGTGAAAATCCAGGGAACTGGCCTGAGGCTTTATCGCTAAATCTGAGAAGGTGCTGCTTTTCCATATTTCCCTCCCAGCATTTCTGAATTTGCAAAAGTCACCCACCCTCCGCTTCTCCATCTGCACATCAGAGGAATCGCAGCATCCACCAACTTAATTTATGGGGATATATGAGTTTCTAATGAGACAATATTTACATAGAACTTTGAGCTTCTAGAGGGACTCTGCTCTACAAATACTAACTATTCTCAGGGTAATATCGGCACAGTCAATTGGATAAAATGAGGGCATTTATAGCTAGATAACAAGAAAAACAGTCCTTCAGCAAAAGAGAAAATGGTTACTGGGGGATTACCCCTGAAAGTATTCATCTGTCCTCTTTCTCATGTTTCTGTTTAGTATGAATGGTGAGAATGGGGAGTGTGGAAAAACAGATGCGACTCAGAGGTGAGACACTAGACCCTGGGAACACATTTACATCTGGGTGTGTATTTGGGATTTGACCTCTGAACAAAGAAGAGGACACGTGAGGCTTCTTGTTTAGATTTAAAATATAAACAAACAAACACAGAGGGAGAAACACTCAGTGGTGTGGCTCTTTCACTTTTGAATTAAATTTTCTTTTCTTAAGGAGCCATGCTATATGTTAAAGGCAGAAATGGAGAGTAGGGAAAGGAAGAAAATAAACAGGTAAACCATGTGCACAGCAAAGAAAAGCGAAAGTTAGTGGCTGATAGCAGTAAGTAACACCTACACTACACTTGACAGTTAATCAACATGCTGATTTCATTTATTCCACAAAACGATCTTGGAAGTGAGTGTTATTAGATCACCCTCTGTCTTAGCTCTGGCTGCAATAACAAAGTACCAAAGATTGGGTGGCTTAAACAACAGAAACGTATTTCCTCACAGTTGTAAAGGCTGAAAGTCCAAGATCAAGGTGTCAATAGGGTTAATATTTTTTTCTGAGGTTTTTCTGCTTGCTGTACAAATTTACGCCTTTTTCCTCACATGGAAAACCTTCACATGGTCTTCCCTCTGTGACTATGTGTGTCCTAATCTCCTCTTCATATAAGGAAACCAGTCATATTGGAGTAGGTCCCACCCTAACAACCCCATTTAATCTTAATTGTATTTTTAAAGCCCCTATCTCCAAAAACAGCAACACTGTGAGGTACTAGGGATAAGGTCTTCAACACAGGAATTTGGGATGGTGGAGAGGACATAGTCCATAACATCCCCATTTTACAGACAAAGAAAATGAAAGCAAATAAGGGAATGTGATTGTTTTAAAGGCCCACCAGACCCCTTAACTCAAGTATCTGGTGGCTTGGGCTCAAGTTCTAAGTTCTGACTCCTGAGTCTTCACTCTTGTGGGATGGAAGAGCTACAACGGTCTGGTGTACAAGAGGGGCCGAAGTCAGAAATGCCTTTGTATGTCTTCAGAAGACAACCTAGTTCAACTGAAGCCACTCATAAGAAAAAAAGACCATTTTAAGGAAAGAAATGTTAGTTACATATTACTATTTGCCATTCACAAATATCCCCAAACAACTGAAAAGAGGCAAAAAGAAACTTCAAAAGTACCATAATTGATCAGAAATTACCTCCCCTCATGGAAATAGATATCTGATAATGTAGCTCCTTGATTACAACCTATCTCTAGTTTACGAAGTTCGTCATAGGGTTGTAAGAATATTGTGGGGATAGCATGGGGAGAAACAGATTAATTGGAGATATGTAGGGTAGACTTTTATTATTCTTACTTTGTCACACACACGTACAATTGAGAGTTACTTCTTACAATTCTGTTTCCAACTCCATGCCTATTTGAGAGTTTCATTATGTTTCCATGTCTTATTAAAGATTTTGACTCAGGAACTATATTTTTCCATCTGTTTTTTCGACCGTTCCCAACACTAGACTTATGAAAGTATCTATTGGGAGGGTCCAAACATCTGGATGGGGTTTATCAGCCAAATGTCTCACGAAAAAAGAACAGAAATGTCCAGAAAGAGTGAGCAGGCAAGGAGCCCAAGTCTCAGTTTTAACAGCAGTTAGTTGTATCTCATTTTTCCAAAGTGTGTTCTTTACTCCTTTTGCCGAATGATTCCTCCTTCCTTTTTATTTCAAAATTTCTTGCACTGCATGCATTTTGCAATTAATCTACATCATTTTCTTCATTTTATTTTTTAAAATCCTAGAGAAAAGGAACACACCTATCATTTATGCCGGAAAGTCAAAGCAGGCATCATCAGACCAGTCTCAACTCTTAACTGAACCACTTACCAAGTCACCAAACCTTACTTTTCATCTGTAACTTTCAAATACTGTGGTAACACCTATGGGGCCAGTTTTACGAATGTGCAATCTGTGCCATCAGACATGACCCCACTCTTAGAAGAGCTCTATGCTTGGTTTAATGTCTGCTGTTATGGTCTTGAAATTCTTAATCATATTTGAACAAGGAACCTTGCATTTTCATTTTCTACTAGATCTCACAAATGATGTAGCCAGTCCTGCATACCTGCTCTACCTACCCATCAAGCCTTAAAAAAACTGCTTTGTAAACAAACAAACCAAAAAAAATGCTCTAAAAGTATAGGCCAAGCCAAAGTTCATTTTCACAATATGAGCATGGCATACTAAGGAAGAACGTCCAAATGAGACCAGCTGGGAAGAAAAAGCATGAGGCAGGAGTCAGACTTGGCATCTAGCCTTGGTCCTTTCACTGTTAGGGTGGCTTGGGAAAAGCATTTTATCTCTTCCTACCCCAGTTACTTCACCTGAGTAATTACAATGTTTGGTTCTCTTCCCCGATGCACATTAGTGCCATCTAGGGAGTTTTTTAAAGGCCAGTTCTTGGTCCTTCCCCTGAAAAATTATTATTTAATTGTTCTGGGGTAGAGCCTGAATGGAGCTTGAGTTTGGGCATTTTTTAAAGTTTCTAGGTGGGTAAAAATATGTAGCAATTAGAATTTGAGTGTAGATTGGTATGATCACTTTGGAAAATAAGTAGCTGTGCACACCGAACAACAAACATGCACACAGACCATGGTCCAATGATTCTATTCCTGAGTACATGCCCCACAAAATATTTACATATTTTCACCAAAATATTTATAAAGTAATATTGATGGCAGCCCTGTTTGCAGTAGTCGCAAACTGCAGTCAACACATGTCCATTAGCAGTAGAATAGGTAAATAAATGGTGGCATATTCATAAATGGAGTAGTGGACAACAATGAGAATGTTTTCCAGGAATGAACTATTGATACTTGCAGAATTTCACAAACATTGTGTTGGGCAGAAAAGGAAAAAGGCCTGATACAGAAGAACATAATACTCTATTATTCCATGTATAGAAATTTCAAAACTAAGCAAAAATAATTTATAGTATTCAGTCAGGAGGAGGGTTACTTCTGTGGGGAAGATAATAATGAGGAAAAATATGGGGACTTCTGTGGCTAGAAAGGTTCTATTTCTCAATCTGATGGTAGTTACAGGGGCATATTTAGCTTGAGAAAATTATTACATTGGTGCAAAAAAAATTGTGGTTTTTAATAATTGAAATGGTTTGGCTGTGTCCCCACCCAAATCTCATCCTGAATTGTAGCTCCCATAATTCCCATGTGTTATGGAAGGGACCTGGTAAGTTAACTGAATCACGGATGCGGGTCTTTCCTGTGCTATTCTCATGATAGTGAGTAAGTCTCATGACATCCGATGGTTTTATAAAGGGGACCTCCCCTGTATATGCTCTCTCTTGACTGCTGGCATGCAAGATGTGACTTTGCTCCTCCTTTGTCTTCTACCAATGGTTGTGAGGCCTCTCCAGCCATGTGGAACTGTGAGTCCATTAAACCTCTTTCCTTTATAAATTACCCAGTCTTGGGTATATCTTTATTAGCAGTGTGAAAACAGACTAATACAATAATTGAACTGTACACTCATGGTGTGTATCTATTGTATTTCAATAACCAGTTAATACCAATATTTCTTACATAATTTTAATATGCAACCAGGGTTGAGAATCAGACTAGATATCTGTAATGTCCCTTATAAGATGGAACATCTGTTTTTGACTTTTCTCAGACCTTAGTCCCTGTTAAGGTTGAGTAAGGAACACTAATGCCCTTCATGGTCTTTGTGCTTCATCAATACCTCCTCTTTTTCTTCTCTTTTCACAAATTCACCTTCAACATGAAAGGGTTCCTTTATTTTCTTGTACTACATGTTGTTTAATTGGGTGGTCAAAAAGTCACTGATTCAATTATACACAAACTATTTGATCATGGAAACAAACATATCTTTTATATCCAAGTGTTTATTCTTTCATTCATCTTTTACATGTTTTACAGATAATCAATGAAGAAAGGAAAGAAGGTTTTAGGGCAATAACCAGGTGCCACTAGATGTACTGGCTTGTGCGAGCA